ATTATAACATAGATGAAGCATTTTTGGCTCAAAAGGCAAAAATCATAACAGATATTGAATTATTTTATTTACTTCCTAATCAACGTCGTTGGAGAGAATGGTTTCCTGATATTTTGTAAATATACAGATTTTATTTATTTTTATTTCTTTGATCAATAAGTATTTATAATTTTTTTGATACTTTGATATAGATATTATTGGGCACCAATTGAAGATGTTCAAAAGAAAATCAGAGAAATTGATAATAGTGATCTAGAATTTCCTCCATTTATCTCTGAGAAGCTTAGAAAATTGGCAGATGTACCCGAACCAGAAAATCTTAAAAAGAATATAAAAGAAATTGAAAAAAATCTTAAAAATGATCTTAAGCATAATGAACAGATGTTGCAAACATTATTGTTTGAGATTAAAAATTTAAAAAAATAATTGTTATCATTTATTTTTATAGAATTGTCAATTAATAATGTTTTATATGGTCAAATTTTATTATACTTGAGGAAAATATATTTATTAGAGGTGTCAAATTATGGTTTATTTTGTTTATTTATTTAATTATTTATGTGGAATAAAACAATGTCAATAATAAAAAGGAAACATTTAGATGTAGATTGCCAAGTTCAATTTGATCAATGTTAGGAGCAATTTGAATAGAATAATGAATTATTATTAAAAAAAAATGGAAAGGCAGGCATTGGTGGTGAAAATTGTTGAAAGTTGAAAGAGTCTTTAATTATCTCAACCTGCTTATTACCCAGGAATACAAAATATTTCAAAGGCTTGAGGGATATTGAATAGAAATTGTTAAATATAGCTTTTCATTCTCTTGCACTTCATGATGTGTCTATTGATAATAAATAATTCATTTGTTTTGACATCCAACTGTGTTGTATATTGACCATCTTAAACTGTCAAGCACATCAATATAATATGATGTGTAGTTTGATATAAAACTTTCTAAAAATAATAATTTAATAAATATTATGTAGAGTTTCTATATACTTGTTCTTATTCAAATAAACATTTAATGTAATTCATATACTTGAGTTCATAACAGACAAAAAATAAATCTTATTCAAATAAGAAGCCCTATTAATATGACATTAATTGATTTGAATTGAATTGAATGCATTTTTTTGAATTCAAGTAGAATCACCATGTTTGGAGCTTTAATTATATCCTCCAGAGTTTGGCATGAGGTTAATCTATCATTTGGAAAGATTGTGATATTTAATTATAAAATCTTAAATAGACAAAGTGAACATTGGTATTACAGGGATCAAAATTTAGTCATTATTATCACAATTGCATTGTAATTATAATTTAACAGTCCAATTTGTTACCTTGTGATATATAGAATTATCCCTATATAAAAAAAGTGAATTTTACATCAGATCTACTATGGAACCCAAGAATTATAACACCATTAGAGGTATTTTGAAGAAGGAACAAGGTGAAAAAATTGCTCCTTAGATTTTCAAAATAAATGATATTCAGACACTTGAAAGAAGAACAATAAGTGTTGGAAAAAGAAAACATCATGATGATGCATCATTGCCCAACAAAAAGCCAAGATCTCTAGAAGGAAAATAATAGGAACAAATTTATTATCTATTTTATCTAAAACCAATACTAAATGTTCCACCAACCATGATTTAAAGGGTTCTCTTTTATGATTGAACACTGATTTTTTTTTTTTTTGTGTTGGAAAAATAAAAAAAAATAAAGCATGCACATTTTGTCTATTTATAATATACAAAACTTTTTTTTGGAAAATTCAATAGCAAAAAATAATGTCAAAAGGCATCATAAATACTCTGAATGGTGTATAACCAGATTTTTAAATGAATGTGAAGAAGAGCCATTTGAAATAAAGATTGATCTTTACATAAAGAGCCTCGAAGATATCGTTAAACATGAAAAAGGTAATAGGGCTGAAAAATCTCAAACCCTTATTGACAGATATAAAAAGGAAAGTATTTTTTTTTTGTTTGGAAAAGTTGCTTGAATAAATTGGTGTGACAGAAACTTGCTAGGTCACTGATCATTCAAGGTTGTTAGCCAAGCCATAGTCAAGTGTTGAGGCACAGATGACTTGCTAGGTTGTCTGATGTTCAAGGTTGCTAGCCGACTCCACACTGACCCCGTTGGAGCACAGATAACTTGCTAGGTTGTTTGATGTTCAAGGTTGCTAGCCGATCTGACGGGATGAGAGACCATGAAAATGAATTGAGAATGTTGAGAATGAATTTAATTAATAATTTTCAAATCTTTTACTTTGTGGCAAGAAAATGGGAGGACAAGCACAAATCAAACAGAAAGATTGGTGGATCATTATATCTACATAATTCAACGTTATAGGGGATGGTATGATGAATAATTCTGGAGCAATCAATGGTGTGCTGGAGAAAAGAAATCAGGAAGTGGTGCGTGTTTTTGTTTTTAACTAGAAGTTGAGAATCAACAAAACTAATTATTTTGTATTTTAATATTTAGGAAGACCACAAGGTTCAGTCCAAAAAAACCAGAAATGGAAGGAGTATTCCAAACTATTGTAAATTTTTTGACGAAACATCAGTTTCAGATATCAAAGTTGGAGAGAATAAAGAGGAGGTTATTCAAAATTATAATGTTATTGACTATTTCGTGATACATTTCAAACAAACACGTTTTTAACTATTATTTTTTTGAAAAAAAAACAGCAACCTGAAAATCCATATGATAAAGAACCGAAATGCAGAAGCACAACTTCACAATTAAATAACAACTTTGATGATCATGAAAAGCATCAAGATTATGGAGAAAATGTATCCAATTATGAAGAGTACTTTGAAGAAGAAATTCCAGCTGATATGGTTGGTATACTAACAGCTATGTTATTATGTCTTTTGATGTTGACCTAATTATCATCATTTTTTTTAAACTTAGGTTTCATCTGAAACTATTGCAAGTTGGGTTTTGTCAAGTGGTAAGAATGTTGGCAAAGTATTATCCAAATACCATGAAAATATTCCCTGCACTAAGGCATATCTATAATGAGTTACACTTTCTTTTGGAAGCATAGACATATTGCTCTCTAGTTTTAATTTCCTAAATTCTAATATTGATATTTTTAGTCTGACCTACTTTTGGATACTAGATCTTTCTGGAGAGAATATTGAAGTTAAAAATTTGCTCACAGATGAAGAATGGAATGAAATGACTCAAGATTTTAAGAGCAATGTTAATTTAAATGGTTTGGAAGACGAACAAGAGAGGCCTATCTATAAGCTGATGAACAAAATCGCCAAGGTTAGTGAATTTATATTAACTATCTTTCATTTAATGTATCAGTTAAATAAGCTGTCCCATGTTAAATGTTAATGG